AAAACCTTGGAGAGTGTTAGTACGATTTGCAATTCCAGTCATAGCGATGGCATCCAAGCGTTCGAGCTCACGTTCCCAATCGACCCATAAGCTACGAAGTGTATCAAGATTCGTCTTCATTGAATCGAAAGCCCTCAGCACCTCATCAGAATGGCGACTACAAGATCTCACCATGCTGTCGCCATCCAGTTTTGTGCCTAAAATCACATTTTCCAAGCATGGGTCCTGTATTTCACAAAGCAAATGATAGAGGAGCGAAGATCACCACAGAAACCCACTTGGCTCGCTCGCTAACATCTGTTTGAGATCTTCTATATAGCGAGAGGTTTTCAATCGGGGGTTTTCTTTCTCCGTATGAGTATATTCCATGATCCATCGATTCAAAAGTTGAAGACTTTCAGCAGAGCTAAAAGACTTATTTTCATAGTCCTTCAATGTCTTGTAGACAGAGCCAATGCCCAACTGACCTCCACAACCTCATCTTACTCTCCAATTCATAAAGATATGCGAGAACTGTGTAGTGCGCGTATAGTATTTTTAGAGTGGCCAGCTTTAGCGGGGCCTCATCGGCTAACGTTGCCATTCGGACTCGCAACGGTTCCACATATTCCGCAGCAACTGGACGACCGCCCAGGCCTCCGGACTAAATCATATATGATCTATGATTTCTCAAAATTATCATTCACCGAATTCAAGAAACGCACATTTACGGCAGTATTCAGTTCCTCCATCTTAGCAGCCATGTCGATAAAGTGACGCTGAAACAACATCCGAAAGTGGGAGAAAATGCTGAGGTCGTATAACTGTAAACGCTACAAACCACTCACGTTATGTTCTGAGATCATTTTTTGTAATATAACTAGACATTTTTGTGGATTCTCCACTGGCAAGTTCAGTGGAGCGTTAATGAGTGATTGACCGGTTGCTGTCCAAACGGAAAGTGACGAATAAGGTTTTGGCAGTCGCTTTTCTGCGTTCACTGCAGTCGCTTCGAGGTTGTTCCGTATGGTTTCCCATCTGAATATTGACTCTTTTTCACTGTTCCATTCCAAGGGTCAGCAGTCGTTTTACGCAGTAGCGTAAATTTTACACTGGACGAACATTTGTTTACAACAATCGCTACCATTAGTGAAGTAATGTTGCTACAAATAGACGTCCAAAAAGTGATTACATTTCAGTGTAAGAGAAGTACCGACGAAATCGAACAGTTATAATTAAACATGGTCTCTATATAAAGTCGAAGCTCGCACCTTTCTTGGATTAAGGCTAATTCCTCAATAGTGTAATTCAGTTTTGTTGCCATTATAGTGTTGTACAGGCTGCGATATTCAATGAACTCTCGGCGCACACGGAAATACATCTAAAACATTTGCTGTGTACCAAATATGGAAATGTCGAAAACGTGACGCTAAACGTCAAGAAACTCTAAACAATAAACTAGAAGTATGTACCCCTTGTTCATTATTTTTGAGATCCAATTTGCTTGTGAAGGCAAGCCACTCCAGAAACTCTGTATGTAGATTGGGTTCCTCGACAGGAGCTGGCCTACCATATGTGCGGACAAACTGCGACACATACGTGATGATGGAGCGCTTATCTGGCTTCGCACACAACACGTCATCGATCTAAAATTGCAGAAATGATACTACTGCTCCCTATTTCATCCTGATACTCCTTGACCAACAAAGAATTCACCTCCAATAGCTTATTGATACCCAAATGTTTGTGTGCCAGCTCGAAGGCGTTTTCCAGATTTTCACGCGGTTCAGTCGCCCGCACTTTTTCCATATCTACCACTTCTGGTTTCCATCTATGTACTAATGCATTGAAAAGAACACCATCTTTCCAATCACGATCCATGTTTTCAACATGCATGTTTAAGTTCCTAAAAAAAGAACTGCAGTGATACAAAATCACAGCAGAGAGGTCCTGCTGTTATGCCCAAAAAGTAGGACAGGGAACAAACTTTTCAAAAAACTTTTTACTTACTGAGCAATTTCTGAGTTGATCCATCTCAGCATAACCTGTTCGACTGAACCTTTCATTTGTTTCACAGAAACTTTCGGACTTTCAGTGGAGGTTGATGGACCCGAAGAAAGGAATGAAGTTAGCCGACTCTTCATCGGCGATGAGGACCGTACAGGAGTGGATTCTCGCGAATATTGCACACTCGTGGAGCCCCAGCCCCACTCTCGTAGCAAGGCCATATTGCTTTCAATCTGAAATAGCATGGAGGAATCATTGTATGCTGTGGCAAGAGTGTAAATATGCAACAACCTTTAGGGTCACAAGTGCTGTTGTTTTGTTCACAAGAAAGTCGAGTTCGCCGCTAGCTATCATTAAATTATGAAGGTACTTGGACCTCATCTCATTCTATGATAATAATGGTACGTAACTTCAGTTCTAATTGAGTTTGTTTCGCACCGCCAATATCTCGCCTGCGAAATCAGCTATCTCCTCTAGAGGCACAACTCACGATTAAAATGGTTTCTATATTTTTAGAATGAACCTGTCGCTTTCAAGGATAGCACATGGGACATTGCCAGATAAGGAAACGACCTAGACAGAGCGTTATAATTGCTCCAAAACCGGCTTGATAGACGTACAAAATCAAAAGTGGCCATTTTACACCAACCCTATTGAGGATGCACCATCCACAATGAGACACACATGTTAAAAATTCAAACAACTGATCGTAATCTTTGGCGGCAAAGGAATGCATCTTTTGGCTTACTTTAACCACCTCTACACAACAGTATAGAACTTTCCATGTCACCTCTTCTCATTATCTCAAAAACGCTGTTTCTTACTACTTTTTCAAGCACTGTGACTCAAATCAGAAGGATGGAGGATAATACTTTCAGCATTAATCGTTACCGTCTGAAGGATGCACCCCCGCACTCGAATTTCATTCAGGATCGTAGTAACGTAATGAATGCGTATACAGGGTGACCCACATGAAGTGTAACACAGAAAACTAATATTAAAATTATACAAATCAAACCAAATAGGAAACATTTGCTTCTATACTATCATCACAAAAATTGTAAACAACATATCACATCTCGCAGTCACCTTTCATTTTAATGCAAGCATCCAACTTCTTTAGGAAATTTTCAAGAATGCGCGCAATCACTTCCGGCGTAATTTCACCCACGCCTTTACAAAGAGCTTTTTTCTGATAGTCCAAAGACATGTGTTTAAAAGCGCAGGCTTTTTGCTCCAGAATCGACCATACAGCAAAATCCAAAGGATTGAGATCGGGGAGTTTGAAGGCCAAACCTCCTTCATCCAAAGACATGGAAGCATGGTCTCACATCATTGCAGTGTCTTCTTTGCGCTGTGGCTTGGTGCCTTATCCTGCTGAAAGGTTCAGCTGACGTTCATCGCGTTCTTTTCGGCCCAAGGGAACACCGCATCCTCAAGCCTAGAAGCCCATAAGTCGATTTATGATTGCCAGCCACACTTCGCGAGGATCACCCTGTATAACCTCTACAATTTTTTGTTGTGGCCAACCGATGTACAAGTCAGTGCTATTATCCTCCCAGACGAGTCCGGTACCAATTAATCGTCCCCGGAGGATGGAAGGCCTCGTTGGCCTAGATGGATCTCGACCAAGGATTCGAACCC